AAACTGCAGCCTGGTCAGGATCCACTGCTGTCTGCCAGTCTTTTGTGTTCCAGGTGTACTGGGTTTCGCAGAGAATCCCACTTCTTCTTGAGCTCTTTCTCTGAAGCACACAAATAATAATAAACGATTTAAGCATTGTGGCTAGTTAGCATGTCCAATTCATATCTATATGCAGTGCCAAACAAGTAGCAACAGCTAGCAAAAAATAACAACAAAACACAAGGTTGAAATAACAAATTATATTTCACGTTAACGCTGGCAAACAATAACAAACCAACAGTTTCTGCTAAAGAGCTCAATTGATGAAAAAAAAGAGAATCTTACCTGATAAACCAAGTTTAACTCTGTAATGTCGAACAGAGCTGGCTTCTCCTGGATCAAGCTGATGAGTTGGTCTTCGGTTCCTTCATTCCAGATCGCCATGATGAAAAATAAACTCTTGCGTCCCGGTGAGATGAAAATGACAAAGATTAGCCGTCTGTGTGTGCCTTCTTAAATCGTTTGTTTACGTCCCTCACTTCCGTTTCGCTTCTCATGCACTGATTCGCTAGCTGAACAGCCAATCAGAGTGATTTATTTGACCGACAGCCTTTGGCCGATTACTTACCGATTCGACATGTTGAATCGGTAGGTTTTCGGCCAAAAAGGCGTCGGCACAGCCGAAAAGACACAACGGTGCAGGACAAACCAATCTGAGTAGGGCGACAGGACGCTCATCGTCGGCCTGACATCCATCGACGGCCAAAATTGGCCTGGTGTGTCCGGGTCTTTAAAGCAGCCTATTACAAACACAAAGAAAACAGACACACATTAACACTGTTGCCTCAGCCACAATTATTCTGGGAAAGTTAAAACTAAAACCTCTTCACTTCAATTTCTTTTATAACTTGGTAACCTACTCATCTATTGTGAAAATACAAGGGGTAACTGCACCAGGAAAAAGGATACTGCAGATTATCGCAGTACCGGTAACTGATGCAGTTCATAGAAAACCCAGATAATTAAAAATGTATCTACAGTACATGCAGTGTCCTGGGTGGTCCAGTCTGTTCCTCAAGAAATTTGACCCCATGCCTAATGAGTAATTCATGCATGAGTGTGTGACCGAAATGCCTAAATAGCTAATATTAAGCTGAATGAAAGAAGAACTCCATCTCACAGCAGTCCCCCTTTACGCTGCCAACAGGCTCCGTCTGGTCAGCACCTGGCGGACACTGAGCACGATGTGGAGGATGTTTTTAGGATTGATGTCTGCCAAGGAAAAAAGTCTGACCTCAAGCGCCAGTCGCAGAGTCTCCCAACCTCACCACCTGACACAATGTTGCTCCCACAGGCACAAGCATCACGCCTGGGTGGCCATGTAGGAACTCTTCTTGGCTTCCTCTCAGAAGGGAAAACAAAAGCTGTAAGGAAGAAGAACAAGACAGATTTTATGCTGTTCCACCAGACTGATTGGACGCCCTGATTTACCAACATTTATCTTCTTCTCTGCCATAATTTACACATCTGTTTCGGGCATATATTTGAAGATTTTTTCTTTGGCAACTGGTGCTACTACCTGGTCTTTTCCCAGGTCTGAGGTGAGGCAAATCACAGCTGGAATTCATTTGTTTTGAATGATGCGTCTGTATCAGGTCTGTATGCAGTGCAAGTATGGTTGCTCACCAGCTCTGTCCTCCCACCTCCGTTCCTCCCTCACACACACACACACACACACACACACACACACACACACACACACACACACACACACACACACACACACACACACACACACACACACACACACACACACACACACACACACACACACACACACACACACACACACACACACACACACACCACACACACACACACACACACACACACAGACTCTCTCATACACACTCCCATATTTCCTTTATGAGTCCAATTAAAAACCTAGAGGGGCCACTTCTGTTTGATGTTGAGGTAGCAATCTCTTGCCATTTCTGCCGTGAGCCTTCTTGAGTCAGGACGTGGGTCTCTCTGTACTTCACTTATAATTGTCCCAATTGAGTTGCATGCCAGCAGTAAAATATTTTATGGCTGGCTGTCTAACTGTTCTGAGATGGGATCTCAATCACCACACTTTATATAAGAAAAGGGTTACATCATTTATGGAACCTCTTTAAATTGATCTAGATACATTGTTCATCTGTCTTGTTGATGTCACTCTTCAAGTGTGTCTTTGAGGGAAGAGGGGTCATATTTGTAAGAAGGCCAAAATAGATCACAGGCATCATTGCATTCTAGTTTAATAGCTCCACCAGTGCTGTCTCTGTTTTTATTATCCTTAAAATCTGGCAATACGTCTGTCTCCTCTTTCTTTTCCTCGACCTACCGAACGTCTGACTCTCTCCCTTCTTTAAGATACCATCTCAAGCATCACCAATGTTTGCCATCAGTATCCTTGGCTCAATCTCTCTATATCTCTAATCCCTTTTAAAAGCCACCTTTTAAAAGCTATGAAAAGGATTTGGTTATTTCTTTGAAATTGTGGTTGTGTGGTCTGGCACCACCCACGTGTATATTCTCACTTTGACAACCTAAACCTAAATATTTCCCTCCATGACTTGTATTCTAAACGCAAAAATCTGGCTAACTACTGTAATTTAAAGATCCTATAGGTTACAGGAGCCTGGCAGGGGGGAGGCAAACAGAGGGGGAGTATAACATTTGCAATCTACTTTTAGGGGAGTCTGAACCAGGATCCAGATGCTGAAGAAAGGGAGTGCTTATTTGTGTGAATAGGTATTTGGGTAGCTGTAAAGCAATGTATATTGCTATACACTTTAAACAGATCTGCTTTTTCAGTTTTTTTTCATGTCAGAAAGGGTAACCCCAAGAATTTAGGTCAAAGTCAATTGGATGCTCTTCCATTTTGGAGGAATTCTCTCTAATTATTACCATGCCTTGTTTTTTCAGACAGAGCAGGCAGAGTAAAAGAAAAATGCCATATGACAGTCCATCAGCCAAAAAGGCCAGCAAATAACTTGTAGTCACTTAAGTTGTTCTGTTTCTTCTCAACATCTGATATTCGGTTCTGAAAGGGAAAGGGAAGTGGTGCAGAACTTGCATCCATTCACTAATATAGTTATAGAACGGGAAATCAGTTTGAGCACACCACATGATGAAGAAAAGCCCCCCACTGTACCGTTTCCTCTGCTTCGTCTGTGATCTCAATAGAATACAAACGTCACATCACATTACATTGCATTTAGCTGAAGCTTTTATCCAAAGCGACTTACAATAAGTTTATTCGACCAGGAAGATACAAACTTGAAGAAAACAGAATCATCACCATCAGGTTTCATAGAGCCAAAACATTTCAAGTGCTACTCAACTGGCAGCCAGTCCTTTATTAGTATAAGTGCTTTGTTAGTAATTATATCGCTCGAAGTGGAGTCGAAAGAGATGAGTTTTTAGTCTGCGCCGGAAGATGTGTAGGCTGTCACCATCTGCTAAATATAAACCTGCTCTCCATCAGAAGCCAGGATAAAATGTTACAAATGTAATACTAACTGAAACATCTTAAACCCATGGGGGAAGGTGTGTGGGACCACTGAAAGTTGAACATCAGAAGGTTTTTTTGTTCCTGAAATATAAAATACATTTTCAAAACTTTTGTTCTGCTTTGCTTTGTTTAAGTTAGTCTTCTTAAGACTATAACTGCTTTCCCACAAGCATTCAAGCTTGCCATATAATCAGCCCACAAAAGCTACTAAGCACCTCTTGGTGGAGGGATGATCCAAACTGAGACCTGAAACCGCCACCAGGTGTTTACACTTGTTATGCAGGAAGCTACTTAAACTTCCCCAACATTAAATAAACTTTCTCTCAGGAGCAAACCCATAACAAATGGACCGACAGACATGCCTTCACAAGTTTTCCTGCTCTATCATTGCCAGTGATGTGGTGTGGGCCGCATCATGTGAGGCCTCTGCAGATTGCTGCTATGATTTTATTGCAGTCTTGATTAGGCACATGTGACTAACTGCAAACCCCTTTTGGCAACAGCTGAGCGATTGGCAGAGAACAAAGCGTCTTCCAGAGCTCTGAATTGAAACAAGATTCAGCCTCATGGGTTCACGAGACGAGACTCTATCCTCTGGAATTTTGTTTCTTCTGGCCGTGTGGAACAACTTCATTTCACACATTAACTGTTGTGTTCGCATGGTAGAGAGATTCTCATTCTGCAGGCGGTCTCTACTACCTCAAGGAAAATGCTAACCCAGCTTCACTTCCCATGGAAAAACCAGCCAAGACAACTTGAGAGAGGGAACATTTTGGGGTCTTTTAAATGCAAAAAATTCAGAGAGGGGGAAATGGAAATATGATAATTTTCCTAACATGAAAAGCAGAGCACACCAAGAATTAATCATGATGATTTCAAGAATAGCTTTCACCCCGTTCATTTTCTTCCCCTTGGACTGTTTTTCCAGGGCATGGGGGGAAAAGAAATGGAAAAATACATAGTTATGATTTGTATTGTGATTGGTGCCAACACAAATTGGGTATCCATTTTGTTTCTCTCCCCGTTAAAGGCTGCTGCATACAAATACCCATTATACTGTACATTTACCACATCAAAGGACCATTCACATTTTTATCAGCCAGAGAAAAGAGGGGAGAACTAAATTAGAGGAACCTTTTAAAACAATAAAATGGGGGTAGTGCATTTTCAGGAATCAAGGATCTGTGATGCTACAGCAATCTTGTGTGGTCCAAGCCTCCCTCTCTCTCTCTCTCTCTCTCTCTCTCTCTCTCTCTCTCTCTCTCTCTCTCTCTCTCTCTCTCTCTCTCTCTCTCTCTCTCTCTCTCACTCTCCCCTGGCTCTTCCTTCTCTCACATTTTCTCTTCCCTCTTTTGTAGCTCTAAGCCTATGAGCTGGCGTCTGCCCTTCCTTACTACACACCCAGCAGGGCTTTAAAAGGCTGGGCCGGAGATCTTAGCTGCCTCACACACTCTGCCTTTGCCTCTTCTGGGCTTGGTGTGCTGCTCTGGAAGCTGTGTGTGTCAACCTTCTCCAGCCTCCAGGTCCCCCGGATTAGAGATGCAGACGCCACATTGCAGGGCCCCCAATCTCCTGCTCATCCTTCTGGGCCCCATACTGTTGGCGGTGGTCCGGGCTGCAATGGAGAGCCAAGGTGAGGAGACAACAATCTTGTTATTGCTGCCTGCAGTTGGGATATTAGTGGCACTTTGTGGGCAGACAAATGGACGCGCAGAGGGACTCAAGCAGGTAACCTCAACCTGGGAATGGGTGAGTGCGTGGGGACAGACTGTGTTTGAGAACTTCAACTTCGCTGGTTCATGAACACAAACTTGGGTGTGTAAGTGTAATAGAGAGTATGTGTAAGTGTAGATGCACAAAAGTATGTGTGTGTGAGTATATTGTGCCTGTGTCTACCTTTTGATTTCAAATTTGGGATGTGCTGTTTGTCTTTCCGCTGTGTTGGTGTGCGGTTGGAGCAATGTTCCTGTTTGACTCTCAGTGGGCATAAATGGACAGAAACAGAAGTTTCTTCTTGGCTATTTTTGTCATTTTGACACTTATTCGAGGAAACCTCAGTTTTTTAACCGAAGGCCAAATATAATTCAAAGTGTCAGAAAACACAAAGAATGAGTGTTCAGGCACCCACAGACACATTTGAAGCTTCTCTGCAATGGAGCTTTAGTATTCCACTCATGCAAAACTCCACACACCCACACATACTAAGAAGTCAATATCACACACATCCCTGATTCTCTTCATGCTAAATCTCAGAGATTAATTTGTATCCATCCTCACCCCCCTCATACCTATTTCCTTCTCCATCCATCTGTGTGTTTCCAATTGGCAGCACTCTATGAACTTGAGAAGGAGCCAGCCTATTGGGATGCTCAGGCCAGGGCAACACTGGAAGCTGCGCTGAAGCTCCGCCCTCGGGAGCACCAGGCCAAGAACCTCATCCTGTTCCTCGGTGACGGTAGGTTGTGCTTTCTTTATGCAATACACTCAGCAGACATTCAGCTCATACTTGTTTGGGGTTGTACTTTGAAAAGATTGTTAATTTCAACCTCAACGATAAGTACAGTTCAATATGCAATACAAGACCATGCTCAGGAGGGTTCAGTTACAGCGCTTTGGCTGTGCTCAGAATGGATTGAGGGAAAGGGGCTTGGACAGCAGACTGTAAGCCAGGCAGGCGTCTGTCAAAAGGGCCAATGAGCCAGTTGTTGTTATAAAACTTTGGATATCTTAAGTCAATTATTCAAAAGCCTAAAATTGATTATGTTTCTTGGAATTGAGCAAAAGAGTTTTGAAGTGATGATGTTCAACAATGGAATTTTCTCACATTTACCGGAATTAAGTACTTTAATTCCCTAAACTTAAACCTTTCAACAATGGATATAATCACAAATGTAATGTAAAAGGCATCACTTGCGGTGACAAACTCGCAGACTCCTGTAGTTCCCCTCAACTTTATGGAGCTATTAGAGCTCCTTGTTTTGATAGTAAACTTAGGACAAGCTTGTAAACATAGCAGAGGATTTTGCAGCTAAAGAGCAATATATGTTCCTACCAGAGCTAGAGTGAATATTGGACTAATGGTGCAGTCAATTTGAACTCGATAGTTAGAATTGCAGTTCCCTGTTGAAAAATTCGCACAAACAACGTTTCATGACATTATTAATGATCATACTTTTTACATTGTATCTTTAAGATAGTTGTCATCAGACACAACATGTCTTTGGAATTTAATGTGGCATTCAGTGACTACTTTCTACCAAATGGATGACTCTGGCCAGTTGGGGAAACTTTTCATCTTGATCACTTACGATTTATTTTCTGTAAAAGGAGCTGCTAAGGGGTGCAAAGATTTAAGAGTGTTTTTCTTGTAAACTACCAGAATATCTGCTTTACATCAGACCGACTTAGTCAGAGTTCTGGGTGGTCGGGAAGTTTTCTTTGTGCATCTCTCCAGTAATGCCCAGCACAGAGCATGCATCATTTCAAATTTACGACTCTGATTTTGAAGGAAGAGTTAAGTGCATCATTGTGACATAGGCTTAGTAAAGTATGGTGTTCGCAGTCAGGGGCTAAATCCAATAGTGGACCACACAAATGGATAAAACAGATCCATAAATTGTTTCAGAAAATCAAAATGCGTATCCTGCATACTTTATGTCAAAATGCCTAATATTGACATAGCATAATGTTATATAGTATGTTTATATGTTCCACCAATAGTGGTCTGAATGCTTGCCTCAAATAATCTGTGTTATGAATATGTGGTTCTCTAGTAAAACGCTACATTGAATTTTGTAATCCGTTTATGTAAATATCCTTGACTTGCTTTTTCAAATAAACACATTCATTATTTTTGTTCTGGATTTTGAAACATTTGAAAACTGGACAGGGGAAATTATTCTGGGATTGGTGGGCGTAAAACAGCAACACCTCCACATGCAGTCAAAGCATTCAAAATCATTGTTATTGTCAGTAGACTGATATAATCAAGTTAAGAAACAAAATGGACTATATTGCTGACTTAACCTGTAAATGATTTCTCCCAGGTATGGGTGTGTCGACAGTGTCGGCAGCTCGAATCCTGCGAGGTCAGATGGAGGGCGGCTCGGGGGAGGAGACAATGCTGGCCATGGACACTTTCCCATATCTAGCCCTGTCAAAGGTAAAAGCACCACACTCCTGACCTTTAGCTCATTAATCACTTTTTATCAAAACAAATATTAAAGTGTGGACTACATCGACATTTATAATTTGAAGATGGGGTTTATCGTATAAATCTGTGTTCTATCAAGTATTAACAAATTCTCTGAAATATAAATTATAATTATGATCACTGCATTAAATGTTTAGCCATTTCACCTTTTGAACCATCTTTGAAACAATTTAACATGTTAACAAATCTGCGCTGATTACAGATTAACATACACATTGTTCTAAATAGACTGTTTTGCCATTGAAAATGGAAACGTGCCAAAGTCACAATGATCCAAATGATGGCTCTGCCTCAACTCACACACACACACACACACACCACACACACACACACACACACACACACACACACACACACACACACACACACACACACACACACACACACACACACACACACACACACACACACACACACACACACACACACACACACACACACACACACACACACACACACACACACACACACACACGCACGCACGCACGCACACCAACACACTATCAACTCAGTGGACAGACTCCAAGGATGAGCTCTGTGTTTGTATCTGTAGTTGCTTGGTAAATCAGTACAATGCATGACACGGATTAAGAGGTAGAAAACAAGAGTGAGAGTGTGAATACCCCAGTGCAGGGGTCGGCAACCCCTGGGGGGCGCAGAGGCATGACAGGGGCGGCGCGAGAGACCAGAAGGAAAAATTGTTTTGACAAAAAAGAATTGGAAAAAAAAGAAAATTGTTATGGCGTCGTCATGACCGGCGGAAGTTACACTTAGAAACCTTAGGAACCTATGAGGGCGCTGTAGGACACAGGTGTGTAATGTACATGTTGAGGATGGAAGGTCAATAGGCGGCGTCACCCCCTAAGCACCCCCAAGAAGTCTTTTTATTTTTATGTGTGACATTCATAATTTGAAAAATTAATGATTCGAAAATAATATGCTAGAGTACAGTACAAGTACGTCTGGGTCTCTGTGTTTCATTCAGAGGTGGGGACTCGAGTCACATGACTTGACTCGAGTCAGACTCGAGTCGCATATGTTTTGACTTGAGACTTGCTTGACTAACATTGATAAAAGACTTGACTTGACTTTGACTTGGTATTCATGACTTGAGTCTTGACTTAAGCTTGAGATAGATGACTTGAAAGGACTTGACTGTTTAAAATTAAATATTTGCATTTGTTTTTGTAGTGAGATATATTACGTTTAGTTTTTTCGAAAAAACGTGATTATAGCGCCATGCGCGCAAACATGACAACCCACTAGAAGGCAGGAGTTTCAGTTAACATGGCAGCGGCTAGCTTTACTCCAAAAATAGTGAAGTTTGGATTCAAGGATTATTTTGTCGATGACGGTAATAAGAAGAGAACAGCGGTATGCAGGGTCTGCAGCATAAAGATCAGTGACACGACCACCACAACATCCAACTTCATTCGTCACTACAAAAAAAAACACAGAGCAAGGTGCGTGAATGGGTTGTGTTAGCTAGAAAGCTAACGTTAAGTTTAAGCTACGTTAGACTTGGTTTCAAATCGATTAAGCATTGCAAAGAGAAGACAAGACGGTAAATTAACACTAGAACCGCCAAGGGATTCATTTAGACTAACCCTGATACTGACGGGCTGTCAGAGAGAGAGAGAGAGAGAGAGAGAGAGAGAGAGAGAGAGAGAGAGAGAGAGAGAGAGAGAGAGAGAGATGCCTCGTTTATTTCCCCTGTGTTATTATCAGAAGTTACTGTAAACTGTTTAATAATGTAGTTCATAGTTTGTTTAAATGTTTTAATTATGTTGTTTTTGTTTGTAGAAGTGCATCATTCCTTGATTTATTGTAAAATGAATCTGAACTTTTTGATCTGTTATGATGGTAAACTGAAGCAATTTCTAAATGAACCCAATGAACTGAGTTTAAAATCGTCCTACTTAGTTTATAAGGAAATTATGAAGAGGAACAAATTAAATGATTTGAAAATGATATCTATGTAGGTGCTGACGCTGTTGGCGATTCTAGTGTTAACAGAAATTTAAATTAAATATGTGTAATGGCAAATGCCATATACAATTTTCTTACCTGGAATTCTGCCTTTTTGAACAGACTTTTTGATTGAGTCCTAGCTATATTGTCTGCAGTTCTAGGGTTAATATGAATCTAATATGATTGTCATCGGTCTAAATTAGATTTCAAATGATTAATTGTGTATGTAATGAAGATTATAGTGTGGGTTGAATCCATTTTCATAACCACTGTCTTTTAACTGATTTAAATGCGGAAACTGGGCTTATTCATCAGCATTTCGTATGACTTGACTTGCTTGACCTGAGCAATGACTTGACTTGACTTGCTTGACTCTCACCACAGTGACTTGGGACTTGCTTGATACTTGTAGGTCAAGACTTGAGACTTGCTCATGACTTGCACATGTACGACTTATTCCCACCTCTGGTTTCATTCAAGCTTGGCTCTGTGTGTGTGTGGAACGAGGCATTTTGTGTGCGTGCGCGAGCGAGAGAGAGAGACAGCGCGCACCGGTACCGGAGATTGTTATTGTTAGCATCTGGTGCTAGCTAGCTACGCTAACGGATATAAGGAGCTTTTTCAACAACAAGGTGGAGGGAGAACTCTCGCCTGTCAGACTGAGAGGCTCAGATAACCTCAGCTCAGTGAGGTAGATGACTCTCTCAGTGTTTAGATTACCCACTGAGATTAGTTATCTCAGTGGGTCTCAAACGGTTTGGTCACGATTAATATAAACAATTATTTCCAAGGCACATGTTTATATGATCATTATAGGTATACAAAAAAATAAGAGAATAAATGAAAAACAGTAGTGAAATACTATGACAGTAAAACAAAAATACAGTTTAAAAGGGGAGTGATTTGTAAAATATCCATAAAGAAAAAGAAAATCTGTTTACAGTTCTGTTTCATTTGGGTGTTGAGTGATATATCCATAGATCTCTTCATTTTGCTCTCAAAGTGCACCAGATTGATGCTTTTAAAGGTGGGGTAGGTAAGTTTGAGAAACCGGCTCAAGATACACTTTTTGCTATATTCCGAGGAAAGCTCTTAACATCCCGATAGCAATGAATATCTTAATAACTTTGACAAAAAATCCATGAAAAAACGTCATCTGTGGAAGCCGTAGCGCTGTAAAAAGCACGACCAATCATTTTAGCCTTCCATCTGTGCACAAACTTATCTCGGGCCCTCATTGGTCATGTGTGCGTTCGTGTGTGTTGGAGGAGGGGCTCTGTAAGGCAGTGGCAGATTTTTTCCGGTTGTGTATTTTCAAATTCTAGCGCATTCGAGCTGGTTTCTCCAAAATTACCTACCCCACCTTAAACTTCAATATATATATATACATTTTTTAAAAATCCCGGGGGAGCATGCCCCTGGACCCCCCTGGAGGATTAGGTCCACTCCCCACTTATAAAAATAGCACTTTACCCCTGCTTACACCTATATGACGTGAGCTGATTATCGAGCCTTCATTGTAACAGTCGTGGGTGTAAGGGAGTGGGAGTCACCGACTCAGGAAGGAGACACGGTAGGAGCAGGAGCTTTGATGTCAAACACTGGAGGTTTATTTGGAGTTACGGCCGGAGGATTCACATCACAAGTCACAGCAGCCTCGGTGAGACTGCACGGGTGGGTTGCCACGTCAATTCTGGAGCGCCTCTCTCTTGTTAGCCCATTTAACTGGTTTCACAGAGAGTAATCAACATATTTTGATAAGATAGCTTTAGACAGTTGGGCACACTGAGTCACTTGCGTCCGTCACCCATGGCCTCGAAGATGTCATACCTTGGAGTCCATAAGCAATAAAGAAGGAAGTGTCCCAGTGCACCCACAACAACAGACCATCTGTGACCTAGTGTTGACCGGTCACAGAATGGGAACAATAACATTATGGCTCAAGCAGCCTATGTCCTTAAAGGAGATAAACAGACGTCAGGGTTGGTCCTGTACGTCATATCTAGGAGTCTAGGACAATTATTTCCCTAACAGTCTTCTCTTTTTATCATTTATGATAACCTAAAAACATTAGTCTAATAATAATTTGGTCAATACTTAACTCAATAGGCGTCTCCAGATTTGAGTGTGGTCTCACCTTACATTAATTACATCACAAAGTAGAATAAGATTGAAACATTCAATCACAATGATTGAGACAACCAATCATAATAGGAAAAATCATCTCTCATCAGTGTTTGATCATCTTTCGTCAAAAGCACAATAATGAACACACATAAAACACAGATGCATAAATAGCTAAAATATTTGTTTTAAACTAATATCTTTTATCATTTACCATTAGTTAATTTCATTCATCAAACTATAAAATCAAAACCAGCTTAAAGATTTACTTCAAGGCAATCACTAGTCAAAAGCTTTTTAATACTTAGGATCGTAAGAGATCCAGCTAAAAATTCACAGTTAGAGTATATAATTCACAATGGTGATTTGATCAATCTGTAATCTGCAAAATTGCAGTGTCCTCAATTTTAGGATTACTTTAAGAGTCAGGCACTTAGTTTAAGTAATATCAATACATTCAAAATCTGAAAAGGAAAAGTCAGACAAATACTCAAAGACTTTTGTAAAAACCTGGAAAGGAAGGATTAAACATTCTTAAAAATTGAATTATTACATTTGTAAATGCTACCACTGATCTGTACCAAATTAAGTCTATCAATTATTCCTATTAGCCATACTTACCTGAGCTACTTATGGTACTTGGAAAGGATTCTACTGTGTTTATCTAATGTTGAATATAGAATATCAATTTCTTTAAATTATATATCTCTAATTTGAGGATCAAATATGCTACATAATTGTTATATGAAATATTATAAATATTTGTTTTGGGCCAAAACTTGAAACATCATTGTAGGTCTTTCTGTGCATGGATAATACATTAAAGAGTAGTGTTGTTAAGCCTGATTACTGGA